GTTTTAATGGCAGGAGCACAGGCTCTGGAGACAGCTGGAGCTGCTATCCTGGCCCTCGAAGGTGAGGGACCTTCCCCCTTTCCTTTTCTGTGTAAATAAGACTACAAATTGCTCCTTCATCACAGGTGTGGTTACGGATTTGGTAAACTGATGTCTGTAACACACACGGCTTAGATCCTGACCTCCAGGAAGCCCTCTACTGTCTCATGGGCTTTACAAATGCATGGCAGACTCTAACAATACATGTCTGCGAAAGGATAGATATATTTCATCAAATGATGTTCCATAACACACTTCATTTTTCCTCTGTTTTTAGGACACTGTGGTCCCCACCCCCCATCATTTTCTGAATTTACTATTGTCAGTAAAATTGAGAATCTCTTCATGAATTCACCTTTTTTGGAAATTAGGCCTCTACTTCTTCAAAACGAGAGTCCCAGTTGGCTGCAAGGCTGATGTTCACCACACAGGAGACACATCCCAGTCCAGGGTGGTTCAGATCACCTGCAGCTGGGCAACTCCCAGACAATGAGCCCCCCACGTGGCCAGCTGGGGCTGGAGGGTGGGGCGGGGCAGAAGGCAGACTAGAGGCTGTGATCAAGGTGCTTTGACGAATTACCTTCTTAGGCTGGGCTTCCACAGGGCTCCTCCTCCAGGGCAAGGGAACTGGGGGAGGTCGAGGGAAGGGAGCAGAGCAGGGGCCAGTAAAGCAGTCGTTTGAGCTCAGGGAGCCGCTCCCTGAGGCAACAGGAGTGTCAGTGTCAGGGGCTGGTCAGCAGCTTGGTGGGTGCTGCCTGCCAGGGTACACATCCAGACCACCCTTTCTCCTGGTCCAGGATCAGTGCTTCTGAGGCTGCACACCCCTTGCCTGTGCAAGGAGGTGGGGGTTTCCCCAGAAGTGTGGGGAGGTAGGAGGCCCTGAGCCCTGAGAGGGCAGGGGACACAGGAAGCAAGAAAGCAAGATCTAGCCTTCGGCAGCACCAGACCACTTTCTAGACAGAATCCACTGGCCCACCTCTGCGCTACTCACAGCTGGTGCTCCTGTACCCCTCAGGAACTGAGTCTGCAGCACCAAGGGGAAGAAAGTGTTGTGAAGTGAACCCGTAGAACAAAGGAGGCTTTGCTGGGGAGGGAGTCACCTTCCACTAAGGCCTTAGGGCCTGGGGAAGTGACTCACTGGGGCCCCAAGATGGACCCACCCATGGGGGCTCAGGGGGATTGAGCGTACAGCGCAGCTGCCCAAGCACACACCCCATGGAGTAGAGAAGGGACTATCAGTTTCCTGCCTTAGTTGGTCCAGGCAACCCCCAGTGCTGCCCCGCATTCTCCCCACTCAGGGGCTGGTGTGCGCCCAGCCTGTGGGCCTTGGGGGCTGCCTAGTGCTCACAGGGCACTGCCAAGTGGGGCTGCTGCCACTGCCCAACACTCACTGACTTTGGCCCAGCAGGGACCTGGGCTGCCCAGCTCTCAGCAGAGCCACACTGCTGCCCTATCAGGGAGAGGCTGTCGGTGCCACCCAAAGGTGGCAATGCTGGCGTCTGGCTCTGTCCCAAGGCTCTGTGACGCCAGTGCTGAGAACTTGGAGAGCTCTTGCAGCACACCCAGCTTCTCGGCAGGGCAGTTGCACAACCTCTCCCAATTATGCTCCGAATTCTGTGTGGCAACCAGGCGAAAATTCCAGGACCTTGTACGTACTTGTACAATTCTGCTTTCCTGCTGTTTGGCTGCAGGGCGAGGCGTGACTCCACGGGCCCCGGGAAATGGGGGTGTGTTCGCATCCAAGAGGGCGTGGCCCGCGTCCGGAGTGGGCGCTACCACCCCACCCTGCTGCAGCAGACTCTGTGCCCCAAACCGCAGCTTCCTGGGGAGTCCTGAACCAAGTCCAGGACACAGAGGAGGAAGCTCTGGTGACATGCTAGACATGGGTTTTGAGGAGCTGGCCTGGCCAGGAATAGCTCCAGCCAGTTGCAGGATGGTGGCTCCCATCCCGCCAGGCGCGTGGGGTCTCTGTGCCCTTGGGTGCAGGGCGGGCATCCCCAAGGGGCTTGGCTGGGCCGTCCTGGCCCCAGTCCTGCTCTGCCCCTGCCCTTGGACACTTTGTCCTGGTTTGTGACATCTGTGTGAGGAGGTCCTCCACCTGTTACCATTGTCCTGGGTCATGGTCCTGGGTCAAGGAAAAGCGATGTCCAGCACTGGTGACAGGCTGAGGGGTGGCTGTCAGAGCTGGCTGTCCTGTGTGATGGAAATAAAGGCAAAAATCCAAATGCAGCTGACTCTGGTCCTTACGGCTGTGTTTCCCCCAGGCTTGTGCCTGCCTGTTTCCTTGGGTCTCTCGTTAGATTTTCGGAGAAGCCTGGTTCACTGCAGAGATGCCAACAGTGAGGCCTCAGAGGTTGTCAGCCTGTGTGCAAGTCAAGGAATTTGGGGGTGATCGTGTTTGGTGCTGTGACAAACTTGAAACATATGATGTGGACATTTCTCTCCCGGTAACTTTATAGAGCCTCAAGTAAATGATCCTTGCGGATAAACAAATGTCTTCTCTGAGCCTCATGGGCTCTTGCCACCCACACATCTGGCACGTGTTGCTGTCGATCCCCAGCACTCACTGGGCAGTCAGGAAGACAAGGTTCTCTGCAGTGAATAGGGATCCTTTTGGTGATGGGTGTCCAAAGTTTCCATGGCCACATGGGTCAAAATTCTGTGACCCTAAAATCATACATATTCTGTACAAGGCCTCCTTTCACTGAGAGTAGGAGGGTGGACTAGAAACAGAGCCTTTCCCTGTGGATAAACAGCAACCAACAGGCAGCAATGCCTGGATACAGGCATTGTGTCCCTCCTGCATAGGGGCCCTGACCCCAAGGGAGCCCCCACTCAGCTTGTGGCTCTAAGGTTTGGAGAGCTCACCATGGGTTAGGCAGGCGCCTTGTCTGCCCAGCTCTGGGGCTCAGGAAATGAGAGCTGCCATCTAGTGTCCCAGACGAGATCAGCTGGGGACGAGGTGTGGGGGCTGCCCGAAGGCTGTGTGTGCTCCCCCTTCTGCTGGAAGCTCGTGGAGAAACGCCCCTGAAATTGCAGAGACAGGAGGGCAGGGACTGAAGCAGGGGCCCCTGGTCAGCCCTTCTTTCTGACCCTCAGCCCTCATGGGGGTTGTGGTCCATTGAGGTCACTTTGGAAAACTGATGCTTCTAACAGCACACCACTGCTCGCCTTGCTCCTGGCAGGAAGCTGCCCTTAGCAAAAGGCCCAATACACCCAGGAATCCAGGTTGGGGGTTCAGGAGAGAGGAAGGTGGTGTGGAAGTCTGTGCCTGCACCGTCCCCACTCCCAGCAGGGTGCATGCTAGGCCCCTGCTGCTTAGAGTCCCTCCCTTCACAGCAGCTCCTCAGATCGGGAAGGCTCAGTACTGGGGGCTGAGCTGCCCCGGGTCATCTTCAGGGGCCAAGCCAAGCCCCAAGTGTGAGGAGAGGTGGCTACCGAATCGTCCACACCACAGTACCTTCCTGTGGCTGCCTCCGGGGATCAGAACAAAGTGCTTGATCTGAGTATATAATTTATAAAATAGCCTTTATTTATCCTAAGGGACACAGTTAAGTGTTAGGTTTAAAAAAAAACACTTTTTAAAAGATATTATTAGTGCTGTGACCTGGCTTTGAGCCCCATGTGATCTGGAGTTGCAGAAGCCACCGCTGCCGGCCTGCCCAGGCCTCTCCTGCACTGATGGAGGGCCGGCAGGAATGGGACGCATTGGAACAGCCCTCTGTCCAGTTGCTTATAATCAAAAATAATTATTTTGAGGTTTACAGAGAGAATTTAACATTTATACTGCTGGCATTTGATCTAAAGCTTACAATATATTCATTTCAGGAAGTATATAAAGTATAAATGTTTTAAAGGAATTAACCCTTGGTACTTAATTGTTTAGGGTATTATGCATATTAGAATTTTAGCATTACTGTGGGAGCAAAGTATTTCTCTACAAATTCAGAAATTCCCCAGTGTATGTGAAGTGGTACTTCCTGATTTTACTTAGTAAAGAAATAAATTAAGAGTAATGTTCAGTAAGGTAGTTTTTTTTTGAAGCACTATGGTTTACTCAAAAATCTAGTTTGCTTCAAATGTTAGGGCATCCCCACCAGTCGCTAACCATGCTGGCTATCGTACCAAAGAAATCCATGAACATAACACTGCAATGAGCTGTTTTCACAAGACTTCCTAATAAACACTTTCTCCTCCTCTCAGATGTGAACCTCAGATGCCAAAATGCAGATGTGCCAACTGGAAGTGCATTGCTAAGCAAAGGAGAAGGCTAGCAAGTTAGTCCAGCAAATTAGATTGTGCAGTGGGTTGGCGTGTGCTTTGCAACCCCAGACAGGAAGTGGCTATGCTCTCGTCCTCCAGGAAGATCGAGGCCAGTGGCCTGTACCAGGCATGTACAAGGGTCCTCATGGGTTACAACGTAAGGGCTTTGGGGAAAAGTACCAAAGGGCTCATTTAAATTGGAGGCCTCTGTCAGTAACTTCAGACTCCTTCTCTTGGGAACAAGCGCACTGTGGGCTTGTGTTGTGCTCAGGTAAACCACCCTTCTCACACCAGGGCCTGCTCGTCCCCTCGCTGGTGTGGCCTGTGGACTGTCACCTTCTACTGCTCTGTGGGGCCCTAAGAGGGTGCCAACCTCAACCAAAAGCCAGAGAGAGGGAAAATCTCAAACACCTAAGACTGGGTTCAAAAGCCCTTGGACACCTGCCTGCCTCCCCACTGGCATGTTAGGAGCTGTGAATGAGATTTCAGAATCTGTCCTGCCCATGGGGCACAGGTCCCAGCAGTGAGGAAACACCCAAATGCAGTAACAGCCAGCTTGGGACCTTGCCCCTCCCCCAGTTAGCACTGCTAGGTCATCCTTGACCTGAAGGGACAGAGGCAGGACTCCCTTCCACAACACCCTAGGCACAACATCCAACTCGGAATCCAATGCCGCTTCTGCACAGGACACAGCTTCGGTCTTTTGCTTTATAGCAGTTTATGGCATGAACTAGGAACATAATGTGTTTACACAAACACAACAATTGTACATCAGCATCTTTACGATATTAAAAGAGTCATATACAAGTCTACAGGCATTGTACGCAGTGCAGTGCTGGCTGTACGCCTCATCCACCAAGCAGTTGTCTGCGGTATCTCCACCAGGGAAGAGCCAGCTCAGTCAAGGGTGACAAAGCTGGGGTGTCCATCTTTGCGCCTGTCATCTAAGAGGAAGCTGGTCTATGAGGACCCCTCGGGGCCAGTCCTCGTTGGAATCCAGGTATGCCTATGTCCAGGTCTTACCTGCAGGCTAGCAGTACAAATTTCATTAAAATTCAGTGTGCATATTAGTGTGGAAAAATCAGAGCTCGGGACAGCTTCCTGAGGTGGGGACCCAGGAGACACTGCTGACAGGTGGGCCCCTTCACCGTGGGACCCATTCCTGAGGTAAGGATGCCATGTGGCCCTGTGGCTGGTCCGGTTGGGTAGAGACTCCTGGAGAAGCCCAGGTGTGAGGACACACAAACCGGACCAGAAGCCCCTGAGCACTGGTAGGTCAGGTGACCCACCAAGTGTGGCCTGCACCCCAGGCAGCAGCAAAGGTGAGGGTGTTTGGTGGTTCCACAGCCATCTGTCCCCCACACCCAAACAACCCTCCTGCCAGCAGCCCAGCTCCCTGGGGGCCTTGCTTCAGTTCCTACAGCACTGGACAGCACCCCCCCTTCATGTCCCCAGAGCAGGGACCAGAGGTCTCCGAGCCCACTCCGTGGGCAGGCGGGCCGGAGGGCCTGGCAGCTCTTCCACCGTGTGGATGGGCATGCTGCATGTCTGACTGAGAACGGAGCACCAGATAAAGAAGTGTTGGTCCTTGTTGGCCTCTCTGGCTTGTGCAGTCACAGTTACTTCTGTTTTAAATACTGTAGAAAAATAAGCCATCTCTGATGCAAGAAGACCCATTGGCGCCCGCCACACGTGGAGAAGGATGAAGAACTCCTTTGCAGTGGGCTGGGGGGCCTGCGCTGACCCCACTGTGGTCGGCCCCAGGGCCTTGGAGGATGCTGCACCAAGCTGGGGAGCCCAGGGGTCCTGGGGCACTGGTGGCAGAACTCCCACATCTTTGGGTCACATCAACAGTCCTTCGGTAAGCATGCCCACAGCACCCCACATTCTGTTGCATGACACCTGGGGCCCTGGGGCTCCCCAGGCAGCCTCGGACCCTGCAGCCCCACCCTCAGTCTCACGAAGACTGCTAAGCAGGTGCAGGCAGAACTCCCCAGCGCTGTTTCCACGTCCCTGGGCCACCCCCAGGGTCACGGGGCCTCAGGTGGGTACTGAGGCTGGGCCTAGTCCAGGGGCTCCTGCTTTATCCGGACAGAGGTGGGGGTGGGCTGCAGTCGCCGCTCCTCCCGGCAGAGCACATACTCGCTGAACTGGGAGGAGTCCACGCCACCCCCGCAGGATGCAGCCACACTGAAACCCCTCTGGAACAGCCTCTCCAGGACCTGCCAGGGAAGAAACAGGGGTCAGCAATGCCAGCTGCAAGTCTGCCAGGCTGGGCCTGGCAGGCAGGGGGGCCCCAGCCTGGGCAAGCTACCTTCTCCTGTTGACATCTCAAGTCTCAGAAAGAGTAGTCCCCACAGAACCACCAGCTGGGCAAACACAGGCAGGACAGAAGCAGCTGGGCCCTGGGGTCACTCGTGTGATGACCAAACCTAAGTGGGGTCCCTATGCTGCTGCCCCTGGGGATCCACAGCCTTGACTTAGGGAGAGAGAGTGCGCCTTTGGACTCCTTGTCTCTTCTCCAGAGGGTAAGCAGACCATCTTTTCAGACGAGGCCTCAGGGCCCTCTCCTCACTGAGACCTATCCTAACAATAGAGACCCTACCCCTGGCCTCTGGGCAGCCACCTGCCTCCCTGAGTTTCGAATCCCAGATGGTTTGAGGCCTGAGGGCTCATCAGCTCAAGGGAACTGGGGTGGAGAGGAGGGGGCGTCCTCTGAGTCCATGTGGCTTTGTGCCTCTGTGAGGGTTTTGTGTAGTCACTGTGTCTGACGCTTGTGTCCTGCCCAGCCTATGGGATGTATGCATGGGGTGGGGGGGCTTTCCCCCAAAGTCCACTCTGCTCCAAGCCTGAAGCAGGCGTGTACTCTTGTGTCTGGAAGAGCTAGTGGAAAACAGGCCCCACTCCATCTTGGGCTTCCCAACTCTTAGTCCCATCTTGGGAAAGCCAGCACAGAAACGCTCGGGGCAGCTGCCTGGGTGCCGTGGCTGGGCCGGCAGGACAAGGGAGGGCTCTGGGCCACTTCCATGCCCAGCCTCTGACCTGCTGCTCCTGTTGCCTGCATGTGATCTGAACCCCAACTCAGACTCTGGGTGTCAAAGGAGGCATACTTTGTTGAAAGTACTCTGGACAATTTTTAGAGAACATCCTTTTGGAAAAAACAAAGAGTATAGATCAGTTTTTTTAAGTCCATCCCCCAGGCGCCATCATTTAATTATGAGCAGGACATAAATTATGCATCCACACATTGTTGCCTTTTCTGCGAGACGGCACGGAGGGCTGTGCCATTTCAGGGACCGGCCCGCCTCCACCTCTCTGCTGCCGGAGGGCTTTGGGAGGCAGGGGTGAGGCGGGTGGGGGGGACCAGCCCTCACCTGCACCGAGTTGAGCCGGCAGTAGCCATTGAGTGGGAAGCGGATGACATGTGTAGGGTCCTGGTTCCAGCCCGCGTTGACCGAGTTGCACATGACATCCCCGGTCTCCGGGAAGACCTCCTCGATGAGGGCCTTCTCGCCGCTGAGTGCGATGCGCTCACCCAGGTCCGGTGTGACCCGCACCACCAGGCAGTCACAGGCCCTGCTGCGGCGCCGCTGCTCCTGCTCCTGCTGCCAGCGCTCCAGCTCTCGAACCATGGGCTGCAGCTGGTAGTAGCGCGCCTCCTCGTACAACAGGCTGAAATCCTGCAGGAACACACAGACGGGGAGGTAGTATGTGGTGGGCTGCCCTTTCCAACTCCAGGGCATCTCCTCTTACCATTCTACAGAACCGTGACCCCCCACCCCACCCCAGGGCACTCTGTGAACTGGGATGGTTGTGCCCATCGTACAGGTGGAGAAAATGAGGCTCAAGTGAGCATGTGCAAGCACACGAAATCTAGCCTTGACCCATGGGCAGCAGCTGGTGTGCATCTGTGCCAGATGCCCTGGGCTCTTCCATCTGGCCCCAAGCACTCAGGGAAGCTTCATCCCCGAAGTATTCAGAAATCTCTGGAAAGACAAGGAGGCTAGGGGCCTGAGGCACTCTCTATGCCTGAGGACCTGCTTCCTTCTCAGATCCCAGGGAGGAGAAGCTCACCTACCCTGAAAAAGCACACAGCCCAGCAGGAAGGCAAAACAGACCTGCCTAGGCTGGATTGTCGGCATCTTCATCTGCCAGCTTTGAAGCCTCTGATCATCAGTAACTGAGCTTCTCTGAGCCTGTTTTCTCTTGTATAAAATGGATGTAGACACCCAGCTCAGAGAAGGGGGCGAGGATTTTAAAGGACAACAAGGTCTGCCCAGTGCCCAGCTGGCCCCTGCCCTTCCTAGCAGGCTGTGCGAGGAGGGACCTGGGGCGGGGAGCCCACCTCTCAGCGGGCAGGCGGCCCCTTCCCGGGATGGATGGGCTCACACCAACTGTCCCTCAGCACGTGCTCAACCACACCTGCCCCAGCCCTGCATATTCATGACTCACGCCACTCAGTGGGGCTCAGCTCAAGGTCAGCTGGTGAACCTGAGGACCGCTGCGGGCGAGGCAAGGAAGCTCAACCCAAAGCAGGGCCTACCCTCCGGTCTCCTGCCCCCAGCCTTTGGAAGCCTGGGGGAGGCCTGTCGGGGACCCATTATGTGCCTCCCCAGGGGGTCCTCGGGGCTCCATCCTGAGCTTCTGTTCCCATCGGCTCCTTGAGGGATATCTTCACACCAAACAACCCCACAGCATTCCTCACAGCCAATGTGTGAGTGTCTGCACCCAACGGCCCACCAGCAATTCCGCCCCCCAGCCTGTTCCACCCCTGGGCTTCCATGGATCCACTCAGACAGGAGCCATAGGTGGGAAGCACCCTCGAGGGCCCCTGACCCCCACCAACACCCACCGTGGCCTTTTGTGTCCTTTCCGTAAATACAAGTCTGACCTGCCACTTTGCTCCCTCTTCCCCTCCCGCCTCCACCCTGGTCTGAAGCCTTCAAAAACCCTCTCCTGGCCTCCCGATCGCCTCCGCTCCCACCCTCCCCACATCCTTTGCCACACAATAGCCAGGGCAATCCATCTGCAAATCTGCTCGTCGTTCCCTTAGTCACCGCTACTCTTGACCATTCCACCGTACTCAGGGTCAAATGTCAAACGCTCAGCCAGCTACCAAGGTCCCAACATCAACCAGCAGCCTCCCTGCCTACCCTCCCAGTCCACGCAGCCCCAGGTGAACACCCTCTGTCCAGGTCAGAAAGGTACTGAGCCTCGCCCACACTGCCTCCTCACCAAGGCCCTTATACCGGTCTGCCCGCCATGCTCCTTCCCCTCCCAGAGAAACATCCTCCCTGGCCCCTTCTCTGAAGTGTGTGCCCCTGTGGAAGTCAAGTATTTTCTGTTCAACATCCGTCTTCCCACCAGACTGTAAGTACTGTGAAACCAGGACCCTCTCGTCTGCCTCATTTCACTGTATTTTCAGCCCGAGTTCGGTTGTTAGGACCCAATAACCAAGTCGAATGGAGGACAAAATAGCCCCAGGGCCACTGGTCCTCTGGTTGCCAGAAGGAAGGAAGGAGGGAAGGACCCTTGCTGCTGTGAGCCAGGGCAGCCTGGCCCTGACCCTCCGGGGTCCCTGGGACCACAAAGGGACCCAGTACCAAGACAGGGCTCTCAGGAACTGGACAGTCTTACCCCAAGAACTGCGGTTAGCTTTGTTTAAAGGGTGTCTGGTTTGGGTCTAGGTTCCCCCAGCAAATGTCCAACAGGGAACAGATCTAGGGACCTCTAACTCCTGTAACCGTAGCACCTAACAGTCCTCAAACATGATGGACATGGGGCTGGAGCCGGGGAAGGGCAGCTGCCACTGCTTACTTTGTTGTCATGCCCTGATCAATGGGCTAAAAGTGTGAGAAAAAATTAGCTTAGAAAAACTAATTTAGCCCTTGGCTTCATCGCTTAACTTATATGGTTGCCATGACAACTGTGGGTCCACTTACGAAGCCTCAGCGTCCCCCGTGCGATGCCACTGCACAGGCAGCGCAGGGCGGCCACGGGCTTACCTTGAAGTCATCCGGGAGCAGCAGTTTGGATGTCCGCAGGAAGCTCAAGACGTAGCGGAAAATCTCTCCATCCCGGTCAATGAAATAGTGTTGCTTCAGGCTGTCCAGGACGATGGGCTCGGTGCCATTGAAGAGGCGGCTTATTCTGGGAGAGACAGAGGGTGGGATGTCTGATGGAAGGGTCAGGCCACCTGCCCCAGCCCCACTCCTTAGGGCCCGCCCTGCTGGAGTGACGGGGGCCCTTACCTGGGTGACTCACACTGATGGATGTCTGTGGCAGCCAGGCCACAGTCAGACAGGCCACGGGCGCAGCCAGCACCACATGCCACACACTCCACCTACACTCACAAGCCACAGCCAGAGAGCACACCCAGCTGTACACACCTGCTTGCTGACACACATCACAGGCCCGAGAACTACAGCAGGACTTGGACACAGCTTCCTCGCCACCCCCCCCCCAAAACCTGGTTAGGGAGACCCACCCAGAAAACCCCCAACTATGAGACACTGCAGTCCATAGCCACACACCCAATGAACACACGTAAACCAGCCAAGACAGTCTTGGGTCCCACATACCCACTTCACCAACTCACAGGGGTGAGCATCAGAGGTGACACACCTGAGCAACAGGCACAGGGTCCCACAGTGCCTGCCCGCACAACACGCAAATCACAGGCCCAGACACCTCCAGGCAAAGGACACACCAGCCACCATAAGCCAACCAGGGACGTAGCTACATACATGTGACAAACTTACAGGTAAGCCACCAACAGCCACTCACTCAGGGAGCCCTAAGGGAGATCCGAGGCAGGCAGGAGTTTCTGCACACATGCGTGCACACCACAGTGCACACACCAGTGTAAGCACCCATGTGTCTGCACACAGAAACAGTGCAGGCAGTGGTTCTGACAGACACTCAGGAGATCTCGGGGGGGGGGCACCTGGGGTCTGGCCCCACCCACTCCAGGGAGGAGGAAGCGAGCCTCAGAGTCCCAGCAGCCCAGTCCTCCGTCCATTCCAGGTCACCATGCCAGAGGCTCTGCCCTGCCCTGCCCTGCCCTGCGGTCGTGCCGGGGCACACGGCCTGGGCTGAAGCTGAGAGGTTAGAGCCCCAAAGCCTTTTTCAGGGCCTCCCATCTACACAGTCCTCCACTCCAGTGGCTTGGCACACTCAGGCACTGGCCACAAGGGTCTGCCCAGATGCAGAGTAGCCATGTGGTGACCTATGCTCAGTTTGGGGACATGGCCCAGCCCCTGTCCCAATGGGGCTGTGTAAAAGGGCAACGTTGCCTCATGGACAGGCACACACAGGTCGGAGCCTGCAGTGAGATGTGGAGAGGCCCGAGCCTGTGGAACCAGTGCTGCGGTCACCCAGACACAACTCATCTCAGGACTCCGACACCACTGAGCCCTCTCAACCGGCCCCCCTGCCAGGCCTGGTGACAGTAGTACTGGGCGACACAGCCCTACTGGGAAGCCTTGTGGGCCCTGCAGCCTGTTCCAACTGTCAAAGCCCCCAAGACCTGGCCTCAGCAGACTGAAGGCCACCCAGCACCCTTGGAGACAGCTGAGACTGAGCATGGCTGCCAGGTGCCACGGGCAGTTGCCATGGGACAGCTGGGGGTCCCACATGGCATCAGCAGACAGAAGGAAAAGCTGCATCCACAGGTACACTAGCCAGTCCTTAGCTGAACCCTCTGCGTGGAACTTTCCTCACCCTTCCTGGCTGAGCTGCCAGCAACGTCCCAGCTGCATTGCTCATCCCTGTGGTGTCAGGATGGGAACCTACAGGACTCCGGGCCCACCCTGGGGCTGATGGGGTTCTAGGCTGTTTATTGGTCCACGACTAGAAGGTGCTCAATCTGCTTTATTTCAGGACTAGTTGGTTCTAGATCTTTCCATGCTTCAATGTCTCTTCACAGGATGAAGGCTTTTCGTGCCCTTGGGGTCTGAGGCTACTAAGAATGTGAGCAGGTTGAGGGAAGAGTAGGTCAGTCTCTGCAAAGCAGCACCAGATGCGCACTCGGCCTTAAGAGTCAGCTCCTGCCTCAGGCCATCCTCTGAGGGAGGCCCCAGGGCTTGGGTGCCAAATTTAGAAGTCCTCCAAGGTTTAGGCTGGCCAGTTCTGACCACGGCTGACAAGGGTTGTTTGTTTTTTCTCTTTTTTTAAGCATTGGTTCCAATTTCCTCAGTGTCTCAGTGGAAGGTTTTATTGGTTCTGAAGCTCCTGGACATCCCAACGTGTCACTCCCCACAGCCAGAGGGACGCAAGAGTAAAGCCACAGTGGCAGCAGCTATCCAGCCTCGGCCCCAGGGACTCGACTCCCGGCCCCGGGCAGCTGTGTCGTGCTCTCGCTGGGCAATGACTGACAGCTGTTCCTGGGCCAGCCAGTGGTGGTAACTGTTCCTGGTGTCAGAGCCACCCCACCAGCCATGATTCAGAAGCCCGGGCACAGTTCTGTGGGCACAGAGGCCCAAGGGCCTGGGGGCATGAGGCCCTGGTCTCTCACCAGTGTCCAGCAGAGACTTCAGCGCTTCTACACAGAAACCCCCGGGACCTCAGCAGTTTTAACTCTCTATTTCCAAGTGACTCACAGAGTGAGACCGGGCAGAGATTGATCTTGGTTTCCAGAATTGGTGACAAATAGTTCTTTTTCATTTTAATGATTTGCTCAAGGAAGGACAAGAGAGATCGGAGGGGACTTTGCCAGCACAGCTGCCCAGCCCACTTTTCAGGCCTGGCTTGACCCCTGTGCCCTGGCTGTCCTACACGTCACACCATCCCTTGGCCTCTAGGCCACAGCTCCAGGCCAAAGCAGCAGGCCCCCTATGAGCCAAAAGCCATCCATGCAGAACAGCAGATTCTCTGGAGCCCCAGCCTCAGAAAAGGTTGTGAACTGCCACCCACTCTGGTCCCATCCTGCAGACAAGGGACCGCAGGGGCCTCAGCTCCCATCAGAGGGCCCAGCCAGCCACAGAGCAGGACCACGGGCCAGGACAAGCTGCACTGTGGGTCTGGGGAAGGACAGCCCCTGCCCTCACTGCTCCCGAGTAGCAGCCTGGACACAGGAATGGGGAGGCCATTCCCTGTGGGCCTGGGCTGCGATTATTCCAGAAGGTTAAGTGTCTGATTTCAGGAAACTCTCTTCAGAGAAGCTGTGGGCAAGGGTTTTATAAATTTCACTCATAATTATCGTCAATCGATGAAGGGGTGATCTATCTCAAACAACCTGGGATTGCCACAGAGGGAAAAGTTGAAATTAAATAAGCTGAACATCTCCTGTCCTAGGCGGCTCTGCAAGCCAGTGCACAGGCCAACAGTGCTGCCGCCTCTCCTCTACCCCCAAGACCCAAGTTCACAAGTGCCCCAGGCCCAGGCTCTGTGGAGCCAAGAAAACGAAGCCTCAATTGCCATCTGCTCCCCAGAACCCCCAGATTCGGCCTGGACACTGTGTCCATCTCAACATTCCCTCCTCAAGTGAGCAGCACTGCTCCACGGCGGGCTCCACCCTAGCCCCTGCTGCACCAACAGCCACCTCCGTGCACTAGGGACCCTTTGTGCCCTGAGCAACCACGCTGACGACCAGGCAGCCTGACAAGAAAGCTTTCCAGAGAGGATCCCTCAGTGTCAGGGGGATTCATGAACTCCTCTTACTATTTTAAATGTATAAAAATGGGTGACACCCACAGCATTAGCCCTCCTGCTGCTCAGCGCCCAGCAGTGGCTGCCTCACGTACCAGGCACAAGAAGTGGTGGGCTCAGCAGGCAGCATGCTGCGTCATCTCTGAGACAGGCTCATGGAGACCCACCCCAGCGTGGGTCAGCCCTGCTGCCATGCCAATGGGAAACCGGGTCTGCCCCTGGGAGGCAAATGCCCCAGAGGCAAGAGCAGGAGTCGGCAGCACCTAGCATCTCCCACAGATAGGCCCACAAGGCAAGGGGCCAGGGAGCTCTGCAGAGTGTGAGATGCCAGGTTGGCAGGGCCCTAGTCCGAGACACTACATGCTGATGAAGTGGGAGGCTTATGCTTCTCCTGAGCAGTCACTGCATTCCCCACATCCACCCCAGGGAGCCTGCTGCTAGCCCTCAAGGTCCAGCAGTAGCCACCAAACCGACAAAGATGGCAAACTGTAGCTTCTCCTCCTCCCTCCCCGCATGCGATTTCCCAAGGGTTAGAATTGGAACAGGACCCCAAGAAGCACACGGCATTGCTCACAAATGATCCCCTGAAAAGGCCAGGCCTGAGTCCCACTCAAGAGGAGCCTGAAGGCGTGTCAGATTCCCTAGCCAGCTGCTGGCTAGCTTCAGGTGGGACTGGCTCCGAATAAGTGGCTTCTGTAGGTGGGTCAGAAGCTCTACCTGGCACTACCATTGCAGCCAGGATCACAAGTCCCTGTGCAGAGCAGCCTTCAACAGACTCGGCCTCCCAAGCCCTCGTTCCCGGGTGGGCCTGCAAAGCCCTGCATGTGTGCTGGCACAGGGGACGGGCCCCACTGGCAGCAGGCTGCAGATGCTGCCAGTCACCACCTCACACCTATCACTACAAGGGGCTTGGCTCTTACCTGGAGTCGGGGTACTTGGTGAGCGTGGCCAAACTGCTGGTATACATGTGGCCACCCACATCGATGTGCACAGGCGCATTGGACTTGGTGAGTTGGGCTGGCAGTGGGATCCCCTGGGCAGCCAGGGGAGACACAGGTGACCGGGTGAGAGACAACCGGGACATGCTTCCTCCCTCCTGGAGATGGAAACGAGGCGGAAACGAGAGTTTCTTCACCACGGAGCTGTGTACTCCCTTTATTGCCAATGTGATCACAGATCTAATCAGATCACTTGTGCCCATGCCTGATCACATATTCAGCTGACAAATTGTGGCCACCACTATAATTAAGTGTATTTGCATCATTCTCGTCAAAGTACCAGAGGGAAAAAGAAAGATGCTTATTAGCAATAAGAAATCAAGAAAAAAAATTTCAAGGTGTCAGCCTCCAGGGGCATAAAACAAACTGCAAAATTCTAATTAAAGGTCGCAGGCTTATGTGTTAGATGTGAAATATCCCCTGACAAACGAATCACCAATTTGTGAATTGGGATTCAGGGGTTTTTGCAAGTTTGTCTCGGTAACGAGACACCTCTAAATTAGTGACTTCTTCAGCACCTAAGGCGATGGGTTTTATACATGTAGTAAATTTCACATCAAATTAAGAGCATTTTTGCTTCAAAAAAATACATAATCGTACAGCAAGTCAACAGCCATCTCCTGAATGCCGCAGCTGCGAGGAAGGGCGGCCAGCGCAGCGGCGAGCAGGCATTCATAAAGAGGGTAAAGAGGCGGCCACTGGCACTGACCAGCCCGCCCTCTGGCGCTCACCTCAGTGCCGGCGCTGCCTTGGGCGTGAAGCGAGGACCCGCTCGGCCGCTCCTTGCGGTGAGGCATCTAGGCTTCCATCGCTGCCCAGAGTATCTGCGGGAAGCACGGACAAACCAGAGGGCTTACTCCTCAGCAGTCACGGGTGTCGTGTCTCCCCTGGGGTCAGACACTTAACATCGTCCTCTCTGCACATGCTGTCATAGACCCCATGCCTACTACACAGCATTCTTGATTCCACCCACCACCATCCTGTCCCCATACCCCAAAGCATGCGTCCGGGCCACAGTAAATTACTTACACACACACACACACACACACACACACACACACACACGCACACGCGCGCGCGCGTTTTCTGGGTAGCTCCATGTCTGCTAATTTAGCTAATGACAATACTGAAACATATGCTCACCATAATTGCCGAAAATATTTCAGAACAAATCTGATTTTCCTGGTATTTTGGGTTTAGAGCCATGTTACCAAGCGTGTCTGTCTCCTCTTGCACCAACAGAGAACCTTGGGGACGACAGTGCATGGAGGATCCCCCACCCTAAATGGGCTGGGGAGCCCAGGACCTCCTAGACCCCCAGAATGGTCTTGTCTGTGCCTCACTATCCCAGCTCCCTTGGGATCACACCCCCGAGGCATCAGAGAGCTGGCCAGAAGGGAACCCACAGCGGCTTAGCTCATGAACCCTATCTCCTGCTCCTCCCCAGTCGCTTAGCCCCTTCCCTCTGCTCCACAGCCACCTGAAAATAGACGGCTCCTCAGTCTTTAGAAGCCATCCAGGACACTATAGGCCCTACGTAAGAGCAGGACTATGCAGCCCTTTCCAATCTCATGGGCAGTCGGGGGGACATGCCCAGTGAGTACCACCCTCCTCACTCGCTTCCACAAGCCTAACCAAGTCTTGTTTCTCACAGGTTTAAGCCTCGAGGGAGTGATCTCCCTTAAGGGTTGACTTTGTGCCTTGAAATTTAACATCCAATTTTGAAACATGGACCAAGGTTCAATAAGCATCAAATCATGCACATTGAAGTAAGGTTACTCCCCTAAGACTTGTTCTGTCCTCAGTGTCCGGGAAAGGCCCCTGACACGAAACTGGGTGGGGGTGCTATTAGCGACAGATGTTTAATTTAAACCCTCACTGGGGGCTGCTCAGGGTCTGCTGTTTTGACGTTCCTGAGTACCAGTTGGCTTTTTTAAAAGCAGGTCACCTATCTCAAGAAGTTCTGAGAAATCAAAACAGATCTCAAGAATAGGTGGTTAGGTGGTGGGAGGCTCTGCTGGGTGAGGAGTCAGAAGGAGAGCCACACTGAGGATCAACTGCTGGAAGGCATTCTGATGGAAATTCTGTCAAAGCAAACTGTAGTGTTTCCCCTGTCACCACCAGGGCACTATTCTAAAGTGACCCTTAACACCAAGGACCCAGCAGCAAGCTGCTCAAGCTGGCTCTCTTCCAGCCTCTTTTCCTTAGCAAGCACAACCTGATGTTCACGGCAAACCGGAAACTCACCGTTGGAAGCCCCAGGCTTTACGCCTTGACCAGAACCTCCAGTGCTCTCTGCGACCAACGCATCCGTGCTGGACAACGACCCTTTCCCCGAGACCACTGCTGAGGCCATAAAAGGGGGTGCAGTAAGAGACACAAGTTCATTCCACCAACACCAGCGTCAAACCCATGACCCAGCCTGGCACCACGGTCCACCCGAGGATCGGCCAAACAGCCTGTTGCAGGGCCCGCGGGTTTCCTAACTGGCTGGGTATTGACCCGCTTCTCAGAGCTGCGGCGGGAGCTCCGGGACCCGCGCCCGCCCGCCACTGCCAAGCCCCGCCCGCCGGAGCAGAGGGAAGCGAGCAGAATGCCACGCTCATTTACACACAAAATGATTTTGTGTCCCATTGTGCTCGCAGTTGTTCAGCTCTCTGGGGGTGATTAAACTGGCTGAGCTGCGGCAGCTTGAGACGATTTCACTAAATCGCTTCTTCGTGAAGTCGCTTCTTTGCTAAGCTGTTATTTTAACCATAAAAGGTAAACAGAAGGCGCCTTCCGAGCTCTCTTCAGCTCTGCACCCCGGGTGCCAGCCCGGGGCGAAACTGCCAGGGGCCTGCAGAATAGCCCGGGGGTTAGGCCGGAAGCGAGGTCCGCGGGCCACCTGGCGCGCGCCAGCCCTGCCGGCCGCTGTGAACTTCAGGGCGCCTGGAGCCGGCCGGGCCGAGGCGGGCGGCGCCGCGGGGCCGGGGTGGCCGGGGAACCCGAAGAGCCTGCGGGGGTGGGGAGGGGTGTGCGCTTCGGGCGGAGGGCAAAGTTAAATCAAGAAGCAGACAGAGACCACAGATGGGAAGCTTGCCTAATTAAGGACGTAAAAGCGCTTTTGTTCTTAAAGTTTATTGTTGGCGGGATTAAAAAAATGGAAACTAATGCTGTTATTCGATGCTGTTAAATTCCTTCATGCACATTGGAGAGACGGAGTGAAAACTTGAGGCGTATCTTTCTGCAGTCGGGGTGGGGGTCGAGGGAAGACCTAAAGGCGCTTCGGCTACGGAAGGAGAGATGTTTGGGACTGTGTGTCCCGTGCGCGCGGTCCAGGCAGTGAGTACCGGCGGGCAGCAGGGACCCGGGGGCGGCGATCGAGCATCCGCGCTGCGGGACCGGGAGCCCCAAACCTCAGCGCACCTGGGACGACCAGAAGCGCGCCGACCCCTCCTGTCCCGTTTGGCACACGCAGCAGGGTGGGCGTCAGAGGACAAACATCTGTCCCGTTAGAGACTTTTTCTCTCTCTGATTTGAGCGCCATGCCGGACCCCGATCGCCCCCGAAGCCCCAACTGCGTGAGCCCAGTTCTGACCCCAGAAACTCGCCGGCCCTGCACTTAGGCTCGAGTCTGGGGCCTGAACCCGCCCCCCCTCCCGCCCCGCGCAGCAGGAAGCACCGAACCCGCCCGCGTGGGGAGGGTCTACCCCAAGCCAGGACCAGCTCACGTGGGCAATTCCCCCTCCCGCGCCAGGCCTTTGTGCTGGTTGCCCCCGCCGCCCGGCACCCGGACAAAGCAGCCTCCCCCGCCCAGGTCCGAACCCCAGCTGGGAGACTTTCTCGGTATCGCAGCCACTTCGGGGACAGGGCCGCGCGGCGCTAAGCGGTGGCCGCCTGCGCAGGGCTTACCTCGGAGCAGGAGCGGGGGATCGGGCTCGGGCACAGCCCCCGCCCCCCGCAGCCGCCGGTCTCCGGAGCCTGGTGCAGCCTTGCCGGCTGTGCTCGCTCCGCGGGTCGCTCCGGTCTCGTCCTGGAGTTACTTTCTCTCTCGCCCCCAACCCTCCCCCCCACCCACCCCTCCCGCCCCGGCCCCCGCTTCGCGCGGCCCCTCGCGGCGCGGCGCGCCGGGGCCTCCCTTCCCCGCCCTCCCCTCGCCTCCTCCCCTCCTCGCGGCCGCCGCCGCCGCTGCCACCTCCTCCTCTTCGCGCCGCTCTCCGGCTGCCCTCCCGCCGCTCCCACCTCCTCTCCTCCCTCCTCTCTCTCCAGCGGCCTTCCCGGATTGCTGGCGAGGAAACAAGCCCCCCGCCGGAGCCCGTGGCCCGCGCCCCGTGGCGGCCGAACCCGGACGCAAAGGGCAACGTTTCGGCTCCAAATTACCCAGCGCGGCGAGCGCGAGCGGGAGCGCGCGGCGACTCCTGGCTCGGGGCTTGGCTGCGCCGCGGGGCAGAGGATTAGAGTCGCAATTAGCTTTGCGCGTCCGCGCCTGCCGCGCTCGGCGACAGAAAGGCACTGTTTTCCGTCCTTTCCTTGGGTGATTCCCACCCGCCTCTCCCGGAGCCGGTGCCTTGCCGCCGGGCCTCCGCCAGGACGCTCCCGGGAGCGGTGCGCCCGGGCCCGGTGCCCTCCGCCGCCCAGCCCCCCGCCGGCCGGCCACGCGGCGCCCGGGCCTCCTCCGGGCTCAGAAGGGGGCGGGTGAGAAGCTGATTTTAATCATTGTCATTTCATCTGATGTAATATTTCCCCGGGCGCTTTCAGCTGGGCATAAATTTTCGGCTCCCAAATAAGTAACACAGGGCACGTTTCTCACATTTCTTGACTCCTCGGTTACAAAGAGGGGAGCAGCCGCCGCCGCGGCGCCCCGGGCCAGGGGCGGGACTTGGGGAGAAACTGGGCTGCGAGTCTGCCAAGGCTGGAGCGGAGCCGGGGGCCAAGTCCGCCCCTCCCCCTCCCCCGGTCTCTGCCCTGACTGCCCCTCTCCGTGGAGCAGCGCCGCCCGTGACGTCTGCGGACACGCGGTCGGCCACCGCGGGGGAGGGGGTCGCCTGGCAGGACGCCCGGGGCCAGACGCGCCATTTCCTCTCCGCGCGCCGCGCGTTGGAGATGTCTACGGCAAAAACTCGCAACGGCGCCGAGGCCAGTGCCCGGGGACCCTCCCAGGTCCCCGCGTTGGCTGCCCCTTCCTCCTCCTTTCTTACCTACCTCCTCCTCCCCTTCCTCCGCTTTCCCTGGAGCCCCGTCCGTCCCCCCACACCCCCGGACCATTTCCCGGCTCCTAGGAAACGAAGCTAGGAGACGCCTGTGCGCTGGGCCTGCAGTGCGTCCCCTGTCCGGCTCCAGGGACACCGGGGCCAGATCTGGGCTGAGGCTGAAGGGTGGGTGCTCTCGGGCCGGGAGTTGCGCCGGGGCCCCCACCCGGAGCTCCAGCCAGACCTCGGCGCCCTCTAGCGGTCTCACTCGCTGGGGGCACTGGAGGTCGGCCATGGGCGGGGGACTCTGGTAGGAGGTGGACAAAGTGGGGGTCCAGCTTCCCTTGACTAGGGGACCTCGCGCGTGGAAAAAGGTCCGCGCTTCTGTAACTTCTCCACGCGGGAACAAGCAGAAACTTTTCTCCTAAGGGAAGATGTTATTTATTTATTTATTTTAGAGCTTGAACTACAGGAGAAGGGGGAAATTTTCTCATTAAAGTTACATCCCTGAGGTTAGTTCAATTACTTGATATATGCAGAAGATGTTGTAAATTTATAGATTTAAATAGCTTATAAGGATGCCGCAGGCCCCATCAGTTAATATCCTTAATTTATGGATTTTTAGCTGCTCCTAGAACCGAAAGGGGCCGTGGAAGTAGGTCAGGGATCTGCGCAGCGGCTCCAGCCGGCCCCACGGACGGCGTGCCCACTGCTCCCCTTGTCCTGGCGCGGCGGGCTTTGGGCCTCCAGCCCCTGCCGCACCGCAGCGCCCTTCTCTCTGCACCCCTGCCAGGCCCGGAGGTCAGCTCGGCTCTGCTCGGTGGCTGACAGCCCCGATCTCTTCAGAGCCACACAAGGCCAAGGGACAGCAAAGCCCCCATTTATACACACCCCACCCGGCATTGAAGAAACGGATCCATATAAGAAGTGATGCAAGGATCCACATTCCTTGACCTCCTGATACTCCCTTAAGTGGTGGTTGGGATCACAAATGGAGGAGGAGGGCACTGGGTGTCCCAGACTCCTTCAGGGACAGAACCTGACCCCTTCCCAGGCCTCTGTGTGCTTGTGGGGGACAGAGGCGCCATGCTTATGTTTGAGGCGCACACATTGAAAACCTGCTAACGGTGGCCCTTGTGGCCCCGGCGCCCCTCCCTCGTCTCTCCCTCTTTTCTATGTGCCTTTCGAAAGCTTCTCTGTGTTGTGTTCACTATGGATGAATACATACATATAAATTAATACTTAAAACATTGGTATGAACCAAAGTATTTTGGGAAGCCACATGGCAATGTGACTAGTATTGGTATTCACAATTTAACATTTCTTTTCCCACTAGATGAAGTTTCTAAGATTTGCAAGGTACATGTCAAGGACGGGTGTATAAATGGATTTTTATTTATTCACAACTCCAAGACTAATTGCTTCTCTTTGCCTCAAGGCCACAAGATTGGTTTTAATATGACACTTCAAAAGTATTCATGGAACTACACAGACACTAAGTGTCATTGTTTAAGAGGCAAATCTCGCTGTGATACTGGTGACCCTGAAAATAGGATGCTCCATTTTATTTTAAAATTCCTAGGTGTTTTTTTAAGAGTTTCACTTTATACCAAATATATTAAAAATGCACAATTTAATCAAAACAAAAACTGACCATTTTGAAGGACCTTTATTTCCTTAATATTGCTGGGAACTTTGTTTTCATATTCCGAGTTGAACTTTTTATGTGTCATTAAGAAGAGTAAGTTTGGGTCATAATTTAGTCTCAGTGTTTTAAAAGTTCCCAGCGAAATGTCAACCGTCTTTTACACTTGAGCCTTGAACATGGACTGTGATAGGCATTTAATGATCTGTGGTTTATGATGCAATGGCGAGACTTTTTTTTAATTGAAGGTGTATCATTAGGACTGAAAACATGGAAACATCTTGTGAAATACATCTTGATCCAAGAGATGAAATTTGATGTGAGTCTAGTCAGAATGTAACTTGCTTTGTCAGTAGATGTGACTAGCAATTAGGCCATCACCGTCCATGGCTTACAAAGCAGGGTCACACCTGCCTTGCTTTGAGGTGCCTCTGTAAGTGCTCGTGTGAAGCACATGCAGGTCAGGCCCTGCATCCAGGTGCCGCAGATAAGTCGTCCATCTCCAGATGTTCTAAAGTGGTCTCCAGAGTGACTGTTGTTATTGCTGCTTGTGGACTGTGTTTAAAAATGAGGACTTAAATAAGGAAACTAAAATGAGATCCCAGAGTCTGCCAAACTCAACCTCCTCAGCAAGGCTGTGACCAGACAGCCGATGAACAGGCTGAGACACAGTTGGCACCCACAGGCCACTGGCGGTGGGGTTTGGGGCCTGAGGTTTTAAGACAGGACTATCTCCTCTCTCATCCCCAGGCCTCCTGGGGTGACAGCCAGACCCTGCTAGGACTGTGCCCACCTCAAGGCTCAGAGGTGGCCTCTGACCAGGCTCAGATGGAGCCAGCCTGGCCCAGACATCACAGTCTGACATGCACTTGGCATCTGCCTTCGCCTCAGGAATCCCCTCAGTGTTTTTTCCTGGTTAGGAAGTCCAGAGAACCTGGAGAGCAGAGGGAGTGACAAATGTGGGACTGCTGGGGCTTCCAGGTAGCCCCACAACATGCCCCGAACCAGGCCTCTTGTCTGTCAGTTGGCAGACCCGCTTTCTGCCAAGCAGTGGCCCAAGCCTGCCTGAGGGATGGGGGTGAGAGTGGATCGCCCCTGCCTGTCCTTGAAGAAAATAAAGAAGACCAGCCAGCTCTCACTGAGCTCTGCTCAGTCTCTGCGCTATGCTCAGTGGGCATCTATGGTTTCTGGTGGGAGAGAAAGCCGGGGCTGTCTCTGGGTGCTACAGACCACCCCTCCTCTCCTGCCTTTTGCCTGCAGGTGGGTGTGCTGCTCATAAGCAAACCAACCTGCCCTCCCCAGGAGCCAGCCCTGCAGTGACAGAGATGAGACAAGGAGATCTGACCAGGAATCCCAATGTGCTGTGACCTGCGGGTGGCCCCTGGGGGACCGGGAAACCCCTACAATACTCACTACTCTGTACTTGAGCCTTTTTCCCAAGAGAAGTCAGTATTTTGACCAGGTTCTCAAAGGGTCTGTGTGAATTTGGGTGCAAGTAAAAAAAAACTACCTCAGATGGCTTCACGATGAAGAAAGTTGATTCTCAGTTAACGACAAGTGAGAGTATTCAAGGCTTTCTCCACTTTCTTCCTCCTCCGCTGTCCCCCTCACAGTGGCCTGGCCTCAGCTGGCCCCTCACTGATCTCAAGGTGAGTGCAGCTCAAACTCCACACTGTCCTGGATAGGAGTGGAGGACAAGGAAAGGATTTCCTGCCCCCCCCCCCCCAGCACCCTGTCACATCCCATTGACCAGCTTGTAAGCCGACCCCTGGAAGGGGATAAGCCTGGGCCAGTCAGGTTTAGCCCCTGGTCTGCATGGGGCTGGAGTTGCTATCCTGATCCCTGGGGCAGAGGGTGGACCCTGGGCACAGTCAGGCTCTGCCTGGGGGAAGGAAAGGGTGGACTTTGTGTTGGGGGTTATTGTCCTCCAGAGATGAAGAGCTATTGACCAGAACCCCTAGCTGGAAGGAAGGTAGAAGCTAAGCAGTGAAGAGAGACCCCAAACCCCAAAGGGCACCTCCGAAAAAGCTTGAGGCAGTCCGTGATGCTGCTCCAGGTCCTTCCAGGGTGCCAGGAGACACAAGACCCAAACATGGGGGTGGCCTGACAGAGCATGGCTACTTCCAGGCTAGTAAGCCGGGCCACTGCTCACAGGCCCTCCGACCCCCTAAACCAGGGGTGTCCAACCTTTTGGCATCTCTGCACCACATTGGAAGAAGAAGAATAGTCTTG